CCCTGCCTGGACACTGTTCGGGCCTCCCCGGACTGCTTACCCCTGATCACAGAGGGAGGCTGGGGCCCAGCTCTGTCTCCCAAACCCCAGCCCTGGCCTTAAATGTTGCATTAGGGGTAGAAGTATATCAGGAGAGCTCAGCAGGCAGAGGGCCCTGAATTTGGGGAAGTAGGTCAACTCCTCAAAACTTTATCCCTGGCTGGGTGTGATGGACCCCAGCACTTTGGGAGGCCGAGGCAGGTGGATCACCTGAGGTCAGGAGTTTGAGACCAGCCTGGGCAACTTGGCGAAATCCTGTCTCTACTAAAAATACCAAAATTAGCCAGGCGTGGTGGCGTTATGCCTGTAGTCCCAGTTACTCAGGAGGCTGAGGCAGGAGAATCACTTGAGCCCAGAAAGAGATTACAAGACTCCATCTCAAAAAAAAAAAAAAACCTTTATCATGCCCAGGAGATGCCTAAGGCCCCAATGTCAAGGGCAGAATGTTAAAGGTAAATAGTGTTCCACCTCTGAGAGCTTCCTACAGCTGTTCAGCCTTCTGGGTGACAAGCAGCAGAAAACAACTCTGACTTTCTGAAGCAAAAAATGGGTCAGAGGGAAACCAGGCACCCAGAGGCGGGATGGAAGCTGGGGCCTGGAGGTCAAGGCTTTGGTGGGTTTCGTGTGACTGGGGTGCAGGGAGGGTAGGAGAGAAGAAGAGGCTGAGGTGGGAATTTCTAGACAGGGCAGCAGAGTCTATGACCTGGAAGGCTTTTGCCCTTTGGGAGGGGACCCCGGCAGCAGCACATGGCAGAGGGAACAAAGGGAAGGGGAGCCTCCAAAGGACCTGCCCCAGACCCTCCTCTGCAGATGGGTTGCCTTCACCAGGTTCTGGATATTCCCAGCCTGTGCCTTCCCGTCTTCCAGCACCAGGAACCTCCTCCTAGCACAAAAGGGAGTACGGGGGGTCGTTGCTGTGGACCCCCCATCTTCCTCATCCCAAACACATCTATACTTACTGTGTATCCATCAGGGCCAGTTATGCCTGCAGGTTTTGCTCTCAGCTCCAGTGACACCAGGCAGGTAAGCAGGGGCTGTGGGTCACCAAGATGAGCTTCCTGGCAGCTGGACACAGAGCCCCTGAAGCAGAAGTCCCGTCAGCCAGGATAGGCACAGCGGCTCTAAGAAAGCCTCATGGGTCTGTGGCAGGGGTTGGCAAACCACAGCTTCAGACCAGAGCTGGCCTGCCTCCTGTTCTCATGCAACCTGCAAGCTGAGAATGGTTTTACATTTTTAAATGCTTGGGGAAAAGCCAATAAAATAATAATATTTTGCAACATATGAGAATTATACGAAATGCCAATTTTGGTGTTCATAAATAAAGTTTTATTGGGCCAGACCCATTTGTTTCCACATTGTCCATAGCTGCTTTCACGCTGCAATGGCCAACTCAAGAGCTGTAGCTGACAGTGTGTCCTGCTTTGGAATCCGTTTACGATCTAGCCCTTGCCAAAAGTTTGCCAACTCCTGGTCTCTGCCATCCTTTCTGTGAACTGAGGAAGAAGGGACGAGGCCAGGCAGCCTCGCACAGCTAGAAGAGGATAAAACAGAAGGCCTTTCATACTCGAATATTCGGCTGTAATTTATTTTTACTCAGAGGAGACACCAAAGTTTACTCTTATGACGTGTTCTATATATGTACTACAGTATATGATGGAGTACAGTAATTAACCAAGTTGTCATGGGGGCTGGGATAGAGAGGTCACTGGGACAGAATTGAGAACGCCTGTTGGGATGCAGTCATCCTACACACCGGTCTGCCCCAGATGCTCAACACCATCCATCATTAGGGAAATGCAAATTAAAGCCACAGTGAGCCACCACTGTATCCCTATTAAAGTGGCTACAGTGAAAAAGACTGACCAGGCAGGGCGCGGTGGCTCACGCCTGTAATCCCAGCACTTTGGGAGGCCAAGGCGGGTGGATCTCCTGAGGTCAGGAGTTCAAAACCAGCCTGGCCAACATGGTGAAACCCCATCTCTTCTAAAAATACAAAATTAGCCAGGCATGGTGGCATGCACCTGTAATCTCAGCTACTCGGGAGGCTGAGGCAGGAGAATTGCTTGAACCTGGGAGACGGAGATTGCAGTGAGCTGAGATTGCGCCATTGCACTCCAGCCTGGGCAA